CTTGGCAACACAGTTCTATTGAAAGATAAATATTGTGTAATGTCTCTACATAGTTTTATAAGTAGATCAATCAATTAACATAGCAATAAATTGGTTTCATTAGCACGTTTCAGGCATTAGGAGGTGCGTTACTAATTAAAAGTCCCACACATAAGCAAATGCTATTTCCAGTTTGTTGATGTAAATTTTATGAGGTACTGAAGTCATTCAGTGCCAAGTTGATAACACAAGCTGCCACTTCAGAGGATGCAATCCAGCACAAATCTGGCCACTGGCCACAGCACTTTGGGACTCATCAGCTGAATGCTGCCACTGACCCCAGTAGAAGGCACAGATATGTACCCTGAGCGCTGGAAGAAGTGCCATCACCAACTCAGTTTTGAGACATTAAGATATTCAGAATTCTATTTAAAACTTCCTTCCTTTGCAGCAGTATTGATTTACAGTATTTCAGGGATTGCTTGTTTGCTTTTCATCTCATTGTTTACCCGAAGGTGCAAAACCAGCAGAACACCTGGCACCTCTGGCTTCATATGTAAATATATTCATGTCTGTGTATTCAAAGATCTTATTTAAAATAATACTCTACAGATGTTTCTGTGAGGAGGTTTTAGTTCATTCTTTACACTAAAACAGTGCCACATCTGCTGTACATGACCTGTCCCTCATGGAGAAATGAAGCTATTGGATGGAAGAGAACTGATGCACTAGTCTGTAGTTAGCTTTAGGTCTGAGTAAATAGTTTCATCCCTCTAAAACATCCCAAAACTAACTTTGAAAGGGTCCATTGCCAATGTCTTTAAAATGATTCAGAGATACAACATCCACAGGCACCTCACAGTAATTTTCCTAAAAGATTTATTTCCTTTATACTTGATTATAATACTAGCAATGGTATCGTACAGAATTTAATGTTCTTTTTACCTCTCATATCTTTAATATACACATTTAAATGTTCTCAATGACACACAGATGAGTGCCACTGAAATAGAGATGATAAGAAAAAAACCCAAATCCAATCCACAACAAGTTCTTGAACCCATTAAGAACAATGATCTATTCTTCCAAAATAGTTTCACTTTGTTGTCTGCAAAACCAAAAGCAGATACTTGGCTTTACACATTGCTCAGTGCTAAATAAATCTAAGAGGAGTATTCCCAGGACAACTTTTTTTTTTAATGACTTATTGGTTGGCACTGGAGTTTGCCTTTCAGGTGCCACCTCTGTCTCTCTATCACATTTCTCATGACTTTACCTTCCAGGAGGGGAGAAGTATTTTAGAAAATGAGAAAGAGGTAGAAATTTTGATTTATTTTTTTTTTCACTTCAATTTAACTTCGTGACTCAAAGACAACTGACACAAAACACGTAAGAACACAACTTCTGCTAACAAATATGCTGCCAGTAATGTCACCCAGGGAAATGAAGACAACATATTTTTTAGAAAATTACAGTCCTCTAATCATCCTGGAGAACTGATGACTCCTTTGGTGTTCAAATACATCCCGCAGACAGCAGAACCTGTTGATGATTTACTGAGCAGATTCTCTGCTTTTCTTAAAGCCTATTTTTGAGCAGCTACCACAAGAGAATAAATGTCCAGTTCTGCAGCTCAGTAGAACATGTAATTGTTATTTAGAAGTTGTTGTAACTTTTAGCTGTGGCCTAGAATATGAGATAAAGAAGTACTCAGCACAGTCATCTGTGAAAATATTCACAAAACTGTGTTTATACCATTCTTGCATATATTTTAATCCAAACATTTGCATGGCCAATGCAAAAGAACCAGCAAAGTGGCACTATTCTTATTTGATCAGCACTGCAGAACCACAAATTGCAGTATGTACTTTAGTAGTTTCCCACTGTTTAGACTTTTTTTGTTAACACAGAACATTCTGTCACCAGCTGTATATTTGGCCAACACTTCTTTGTGCAGGGTTTATGTAACACACAACTCAGGTTAAGATTGCAGGTCAAGATTTTGGAGAATTATAGATTTGCAGACTCTCTGAGGTTGGAAGGCACCTCTGGAGATCACTAAGCCAATCCCCACACCAGGCCGAAATCTTTATCTTTTAAAAAATGAGGGCAATTGATACAGAAACCAGAGATAGAAAAATGGACCCTCACAACATTTGAGAGATTCTTTTCCCATGTGTTTACAGCTTTTAGCTTTTTACCTACTTGAAATCATATGGTCTATGGTGGTGATTTATGTTGAAGACTCAATTATATGGTCCAAAGAATTGTGATGCTCGTTGCCAAAGATCCCTCTTGTTCTTATGTATGTATTTACAAAGAGCTAAGGTGTGTGATATTTTTCATATTGATAAAAATGTGATTAAAACACAAGTGCACTTGTTATAATAAGTTTTGTTTATCCATAATGTACCAATCACGAGTGCAAATAAATGTTAATTTAAGTAAGTATTAACAGACAGGCCTTTACCAGTTAGCAGATGTAGCAATCTAATTCAGCAGTGCCAAATCTTGATTTAGGTTTTGCTCCACATGGACTGGAAAATTTATCCTGTGATGTCGGTTTTATTATTACAAAGAATTAGTCATTCAGCATGTAAACACACAAATTAGCAGACCAAAATCTATTTTTTACATTAAGACATGAAAGTGGACTATAAAGGAAAATCTTTGACCAATCCTGTGACTGAGCTAATAAAGTATTAAAACTGAAAAATATACAAACTGAGATTATAAGCAATAAAGACTGAGGAAAGAAAGAGCACATTAATGACAGTTCACAGCATTAAGATTCAAACCAAATTACATTTCCATGATTAACCAGCAGCATTTGATACAATAATGAAAAGAAATGCCAGCAAACTGATTCATGTTATTGTACTGCAAACTGTTAACTGAGTTTCAAAATAAAAGCAATTTCATCCTTTATAACAGTGGCAGGCTATTTCAGACAGATCAATTAAAATGTTTTGCCTCATCAGATCTGTGCCTGATTGTACAGAATCACTGCACTTGGAAGGGAGAAATCCCCAAAGGAACAACCTCACAACAAAAATGTTCAGCAATATTCATTCTAGCATTAAATTATCAGTGGATTCAGTCTTAGAGACATTCATCTTATGTTCTGTTCATCATAATCATATTCTAAGACCAAAACCAGATCTTAAAAGTGATTAATTAAAACTGACCCTGTAATTTCTATCTATAGGAAGCCTAATCAGACATAACCTTTATGGGATTTTTCATTTTCACACTGAATTGTGGTCATTTAATTTTGCAGTCAGAAGAAACTCTTCAAGACCAGATAATTATTTTTATATTTTATATTTCATTGCTTCCTAATAGACAGATCTAATGCCCTAGAGACTTTTTATGCATATTAAGACTGTAATTTTCCCCCCAGACTGAGGTATCACTATTCCCTACAGCACAGTCCTATGACTAATATCTCAGTGTTTTGTAACTACTCTTTCATTGATAAAGATTCAATCAACTGTACATACATTTGTGCTGCAAAGGACAAATTAAATATACCAGTATTATTATATGTATTTACAGTGTTTCATAGTAAAGTACTATTAAACAAAATACTATTAAAACTAACAGAAGAATCGTAGGTATGGTACAAAGGTTACAACTGGTTAATGTAATATACACTTCAGAGTCCAACATGTTCCAGATCTCCTGTTGATGAAGCTCAAAATCCATTAAGGAAGGACAATACTGGAGAAGTTGGCAATATGAAGTGGAACTGAAATGCATTTTCTTTTGGATGTCTTTTCTAAATCACCAACAGTGCCAGGTCATGGCAGAAAATAAAGGACAAAGTTCAAATAATAGCCTAGAAATGATGATACTTTCAGACAATGATAGAAGGAGCACATCTCAGAAAAGTTCTTTGTATTAATTTAATATTGCTGCTCTAGCTGCAGAAGAAGAGTCTGATCTCTCACTAGAAAAATGCATTAAAAAGCCATTTTGTCTGCTGCTGTAGATGAGGTATATAGTTATTTTGCTCAACAGCTTAATTTTTCCAGAATCCCACTAGTATTCCCAGAGAGAATGCTGAAACATCTACTATATGAGAAAAAATTCTAAGGAAATAATTCACAGGTACAAACAGAACCTCTTTGCCATATCACAGATTAATCTTGAATCCACTCTAGTGCATTGCTTCGTGCAATGTGTTGAGAATTATGAAACTGCCAAATGCAAAAAATTGTCATGCTTGTTGCCAAAGATCCCTCCTGTTCTTATGTATGTGTTTACAAAGAGCTGATGTGTATAGTAAAATACTATTAAACCAAAATATTATGAAATTTAACACCACTTACAAAAACAAATTTTCATTAATATTATTTCTTAAATAGTTCTAAATATCATTTACAAATACATAAAGAACGATATTTAAAGCAAAAAGGGAAGATTTTACCAGATTATATCCCTTGTGTGATTGTGTATCGAAGGGTTTCTTTTGAGATTCTTAACAAATGACTGTGTTAAACTGTATCTGGACATAGTCAACTTTAACATTAATGAAATCAGAACATGAGTCAGCAGATTGCAAAATTCAGCTAGAAGGAGCTCAACAACTTGAATTTTTAATTTGGTCAGTAAGTACCTTAATAGTACTCTACCCTCAGCCCCCAAAATAAATTTAAAAACAATACAAAGCCCACACAAACAGCAGCAAAACAACACTAAAAAAAGACCAAATAAAAGAAAATGAAGACACCTAGTGTTTGAAGAGTGCAGGCGGATGCAGGTTTTGAAGTCACTTAGATATTTCTGAAAGCTTTACACTGGGATTTTAATTCAAAGTCAACATTTAAATAAACAAAAAAATACTCCGCATGCCATATATTCCTTTAAATATAAAAAAAGCACTTACAATTAGAACAGAAGACTTCTATTTAAAAAACCCCACAGTTTTAAAGAGTTTGGAGATGTTGGCATTATATTTTAAATTATTTGTGATGAAAAAAGCTTAATATTTTCTTGATTACTTGACAGATACTTACACAAAAAAGGGCATCAGCTGAATAAGTGTCTCTTTTTTGGGATTGGCTGTGAATTCTGGCACAGTTTGAATAATTTTGTTCATTACGTTCCTTAGGTAATTTTGTAGCTGCTTGCGTCGCTCTTCTACAAACTTTGCATCCTAAAAATAGAGAGGAAAAAACATAAATGGCACAAAGAACATCTTTTTCAATTCTATAATGTAACTAAACAGTCCCAATAAGCACAAAATTCATCTTTTGATGATGTCTCTTTATTATGTCTATATAAGTATGTTGGCAAGATGCAAAAAACCCTCGACTCTGTCCTCAGAAATAAAGGAAAATCAAGAATCCTAATAAAAACCTGTTTCACAAAAACGTCCACTGCCAGGATGCTGAATCCTCTCCTTGGCAGAATCTGTCTCCTGTGGACCATAAACCACTGCAATCTCAACGGGCAGTGCAGAGCAGCAGCACAGGGGCAGTGGCACAACAATTGATGCCATTTTTTGAGATCCAGAATTACCAGTCTCTGCAGGAGGAAATGTTGACTTACTCCCACAACTTCCTCACAACTCATACTTTTCAGTTGTTGGGTGCACAAACTCTAGAATGGATGAATAATTCTCCAGCACTTTTATTATTGTTAATAAATTAATATTTTGTGATGGAGTTTATATGATTGCTTTTTTAAATATTACAATCATAACTCTCATTAAAATGTTTTACTAAAGTTTCTATAGCATTTTAGATGCCAGGATTTTATACTACATTGGCCCAAATAAATAGAATAATTCTATGAACTCCACATTCTGCTGAAGGACTTAAAAGTCTAAAAATCAAAATGTCATGCACCCTGTAACTCAAATCTAGTTTAAACTTTTTCCCTGTGAGGGATCCCAACAGTGAGCTGGGATATAAAGGTGACACATTTCCCATTAATTTATAAAACTGTAACAGGTTTACAGTGACATCAGGTGCTGGATGGTTTATGCTCTATCTCAGGAATGCAGGCTCTGATCACCTGGTTTAAATGTCACAGTATGTTCTTTAGGCACGAAGTCAAACCTATTATTAGACAACTACAGCTCCCAAAGGTGACTATTATCTAGAAGATGTGCCTATCCAACCTGTATGATTTATCTCAATAAGAGAAGACATTGAAACAAATTCTTGTTTCTTGAAAAAAAAATAAATAAAAAAAGACAACCCATCAACAAAACACCATAAATACATTCGACAACACTGAATAAATTCATTGTATGGAGAAGGCTCAGACCATGCTGCCATGCATGGGATGCAAATCTGGAGATTATTGTTTCCTTAGATAGAGCAGACTGACATCATCAAAGCAGGGATGCTCCTTGGAATTCAGGAGGACTGATGTAGAGTTCCTAGAACATTCACTGACATTTTGTTCTGCTCTTGTCTCTCATTAGAAGTTACCAGGAACAGGAATATTTTTAAGAATAAGAAATTAGACATAATAGTAGGGACATAATAGAATAAGATATAAGAAACTGCTGAAGACATACATACTCACAGGCTTCAAAATCTTAGGTAGTGCTTATGTTAAGTTCACAAAATTCAAAAATATTCCAATTTTACTTTGTTTTCTACCTACATGAACTTACACAGATGTCCAGTCCTGTTTCAACATTCCAGTTTCACGTTAAGTAATCAGGATCTGAGTGAAAATAAAACCCCCCTATGTACTATGTGCCTTGCTAATTCTTTTTTATCAGTCACATTGTTTTTCAGCAACCTACACACGCCACACACAAACCGTGTGGCAAGTGATTTGATTCTAGTGCTAATTGATTTACTGATGAAATGAAGAAATGAAGTCTGAAAACGCTCGGAAACTCCTGCTTTACTAAAAAACCAAAGCTGTGCTGTTGAAAGTTCGTGCAAAGCAACTCTGCAGAGTCCCTCAGTCCGTCCTCCCCCAGCGAGGACAGTGACTGCCCGAACAGAACTGAGCACCAGCTTGTTCTGTGCCCCTGCACGGAGGGAGTCTGGACAAATGTGTGCAACAGAAGTCCAGACAAGCTGTTGGGAACGTTAAAGCAAAAATTCTAATACATGGTGACACATAATATTATCATAAAATGGAATGGTAATAATAAATAAAAGTGCTGTTCAGTACTAATTAACATCTGTGTTACTACTTTTCTTCTTTTCACTGAGATTTTTGTTCCTACTGGATTCTTCAAGTAGGCTCAAGGAATGGTCTTGTATTCCCATCTTTTCTCTCAAAGGATTTACATTATCACACCCTCCCCTTGGTAGGGACACTAATTTGCTACCACCAGCTGTGTGAGGCAGAGGACAAGAAAGGAGATGTCCAGGAAGAAGAAGTCTGTGGAACAGCTTTGGTTTTGAAAGCTTTAACCACTTGAGCAGTGGTGATGTTTGGCACATGAGCCCATTTCAGTTATGGAGTAATCCTCTCCCCAGGTCCCATATACATTATAATGTCCTATATACAAATAATAATATTATATTATGCAGTCCTAGACTGTATAACAGAGGAAGAAGCACTGCTTTGCTCTACAAGCCAGTTCCCAGTGCAGACCCTCAGCTTTGAGCCATTCCAAAGAATGGTCTCACCTCCACTGCACTTCCCTTATTCTACTTCCATCTCTTCTGTCAATGACATTTTCATGCCCACAAGAACATCTCCATTTTTTTAAGTACTACATTCATCAGCTCTTTTTCAGTTCTTAAGTTTGTTTGGTCACAAATCCTCAATGACAGTATTCTCAGTGAAGTAATTTCAACTCTGTTAAAACCTGGTCTTAAGAGAAGCTGCATTCCCTTAGTATGACTTCTGTACTGCCATGTATTTGAATAAAAACATCTTTCACAGGCAGGATCTCTTTGCTATAGACATGGGAACAAAATGCTGAAAGTAGGTACTTTCTATCCCTTATGTTATTGTAAAGGATCTCCTTGACTATAGATAATAATGGCACAAAGGAGTTTTCTAATTAAGTCTGCCCAAACATGCTTAGGAAATGCATTTTTTGCTGTTTACAGCTGATTAAATTAGTGCTTATAATATAGCTATTTTTCTGTCGTTTATTCGAGCGAAAGGCAGAACATCTCAGAAATTAAACTCAGCCTGAAAACAGTTAAAAATGTTCTGTTAGCCTGACATAAATTTGATCTCTAAAGCAAACACCAAGCAATATTCCATGAAATTCTGTACTATGTACTAAGGCCCATTGTCCTCACCAGAAGTAATGTAAACCAAGGTCAAAATGATTCAGCTGTGGGTCTACACTTTATCATTAAGTGTGCATTTTGCAACAGCAGGTTGAGTACTCAGAGAAATGATTTTACCAGGCAGTTGTTACTGCCAAGCTGTTGCAGTAATAAAGAGTTTTTGTCACAATATAGTAAACAGAACAACTGGTAACAGAAAAACACAATTGGCTCAAAGCCTGGCCAATTTTTTCAGTCTCAAATAATAAAAAGGTAACTGTTACCCTCTTTTCATTGGGTCCAATTATCTACAGCAGAAATCTAGTTAGTATTTTATATTCCGACTCGTAAACAAACTCCTATTTTTATTTACAAGCAAAAAGTAAAGTGAAATATTTTGGTTTGTATTTGTATCAGTGAAACCTGCTCCATATTTTCAGTCCATGTCTTTGGTGACTGTATGAGGTTGTACCTGTCAATGCAAGTCTACACTTGCATATCTACTCACATAGGAAACAGCAAAGCTCTTTCCCTAAGATTTAATTTACACATTTAAAATACACATTTATGTACACTTGATTTGAATGTACTTTGAGGACAAAGTAATTTTGTTAAATTACAAATACATATAACCTTACCTTTTCACATTATTAAAGGTTAGACTATATGGTTTCATTCTTGGAAAAGCAAACATATATACAGAAAGATAAAGTAACACTTAGATAAACACAAACTTTTAAGATTTCACTGAAGAGAGATCCTGTTTACATGGTTAAAAAGAAGGCCTGCTCTCAAAAATACAAATGGGTATTATTGCAAATCCTGAAACTAAATATGTATAGAAGAAATGGAGTGGGTAAGGTGAATAAACAGCAAGCCTTGTCTCTAACAAGAACTTGTCTGGAATCATCCAGCCAGTCATTTACCGGTTGGGTTCTGAAACAAAGTGAAGATCTTTTCCCTGCCTCATAAATGCTTCTTTTTATTTGCAAGTTATATTTGACCTCCCTATTTGACTAAGAATCTCTTTCCCTGTTAGAAGAAAAGGGACCATATAGAGAGGGACTCTGTTACAGGAAAATATACCCAGATTCTGATACACATCTCTAGGGCGTGTTGGCCACATTTACCACCAATTTATAAACTTAACATACCAGTATTCACCTTCAATTTTTAGGCATATTTTCTGAAAAATAAAGCTACCACTGTTTCTGTACTCACTACTGTGAAAGTTATTTCTAGCCCACAGTTGAAGAGCACACACTTTTGATTGAGAGTCCACAAAATTTCAGTTAACAAGCTAAACTGCTCCAGATTACAGAAGCAGTTACAGAACACATCTGGGAAAATACTTGTAATCTGAAATTCATGCTGTCCCAAATATTTTATGAAACTCTGTTTGACTGACAATATGCCAAGTTTCTCCTGCCCACAGCAAAATGCTAACATCAAATTACAAATCTCTAAAAATTGTAACATAGATAATGGAAATCTTGTAGACTCTCAGATACTGGAAGGCAATGTCAAGCTATAAAACTAAGAAGCAGAGTCTAGAGGTACCATATTTTATGTTACACTGTTTTGCAGTTCTTCATTGCAAGACAAGTTCATCCCAACTTGCAGTTTAAATTGTTTCACACAACTGCTGGTCTTTTATATACACTGTTAGTATGTAACAGATGGCAAAACACTGATATTCTTCATTATTAATGGGACAGCTCACTTAAGATGTTTCAAACATTTTCCAGGAGCTGTTGGAAGCGCTATGATTGCCATGGTTACCTGCCATGAGTTAGGGACAGATAAAACACTTTTAGATTCTGGGTTTGGTGCTGTTGCAATCAACATAAAACACACTGCTTCTGATGGTCTAACCATAACTTCTCATTTAACTCACCTCTGAAACAAAACCAAACAACAAAACAGCTAAAGGGCTCAGTACAACTCAATT